AATAATTTAATGAATATTTTAAGTTCCTAAATTTTTTTGATAATAATTTTAATTTAAATTATTTTTAACAGAATTGTAATTTATTTATAAAGTAATTTATTGTAAAGAAATTTCGAAAAAGTAATCGAATAAAATTGCAGTTTTTATTATACATAAAATTAAAATTATTATTGAAAGATTTTAAAAATACTTTATTTTTTTTAATATTGTGTTATTTAATTATTTTATTTTTTGTCTATTATATTTATTAATATACTTTTATGTTCGTTTCTGATCACAATTTATTTAAACTTCAATTTCAATTAAATTTTTTTTATAATCTAAACTCTAAAAAAATATATTATTTTTAGAGTTCTTGAGCAGAAAGATCACAATTGTTAAAGAAAATTTTGTATTTCATATATTATATCATAATTAAATTCTTGATAATATTTTATAGGTAATATTTTATAAACTTTTAAACGATTTAAGTTTCTCGTAAAACATTATTTATTTAATTAATTATCGAACAATATAATTGTTGATTATATAAGATTCAAGATAGAAAAATAATATTTGTTTAGTATTTAGCTTATTGTTATTTAGTATTAGATAGTTTGTTAAATATTTCGTTAAATCGTTTGTTTTTTAATAACAAAAAAAGTTAAATAATTTTTTAAATTAATTTACGTATTAAATTATGTATTAAATTATTATATGATTAAATTAATTATCATATTTTTACGTAAAACATCGTGGATAACAAAAATCGCGGCACGCGAAATGTAAATATCGACTGTTATTGATATCGATTTAACTCAGTCGTATTCGAGACACGGAACGAAACAGACGTGTCGCTCGCCGCTTCTCGTAAGAATATTGTATTATATAATAAAATAAATAGTTTTTTTTATAAATAATTATAAATAAATTAATTATTATTATAAAAATTGTATAAATAAAAACACATTATGGAAAAACGAGTGCAAGTCGAATGCAATAATATTACATAACAATATTAATTATATTAAATAAAGTATATAATTTTATTATTAATATTAATTATATATAATATTATATAATTAATATAATATTATTATTAATATTAATATTAATTATATATGATTAATATAATATTATTATATATATTATTATTATATAATTAATATAATATTATTAATATTATATTATTAATATTATATTATTATTGTTATTAATATTAATTATATATAATGTTATATAATTTATATAATATAATTAATATTATGTAATATTATTGCATTCGACTTGCATTCGTTTTTCCATAATGTGTTTTTATTTATACAATTTTTACAATTAATTAATTTATAATTATTTATAATTTATATTATATAAATTATAATATTATATTTATTTATACATTATTTTATTGCATTCTCTTCCTTTAAATTTACAATTTTTTCAATTATAAAGTGCAATAACTAAGAAAGAGAATAAAAAAATTAATTTTATTTTTCAAATTTTATTAACATTAACATTATAATTAGAGATAGATGAAGGTTTCGATATAGGGTATAGGTATAGGTTTCGTCCATTCATATCATTATTCGTATTATTTTTTCATTTAAATTATATATTATTATTTGATCGTTAGAGAAATCAACAATGCGTTTAGTATCGCAGAATTTTTTATAATCCGTGTATATTTGAAATATTTGTGCGGTGTAATGAGCACTTGAAGAGAAAATGATATAGAGGGAATGGAAGAAATAATGATACTCAAATGACTCGATGGTTTAATAAGCCTTTCGATATTTCAAAATTTATAACGTGTTATTTAAGTTGAATATTTGAAAATATTAACTTATTTATGCACGATATTATGACGTCAAATACTTCGTTTAAAAACTTTAAAAGTTTTTAACTTTATCGTTTAAACTTTCAAATCTAATATTAAATATTATACAGTTTTATAAAAAAAAATCTTTTTAATGAAAAAATATACAATTTTTATTATAATATAATATTTATCATAATAATTTATAATAATAATAATTATTATAATAACATTATATTATAATAAAAATTGTACATTTTTTAAATAAGTATTATTATAATATTATTATAATATAATATATCATATTATAACAAATCTAAATTATAATATCATTATATATTTTTTATACAACAAAAAGAAAATTTTTTCTACAAACTAAAAAATATGAAAAAAATTTTAAGAAGAAATTTCACTCAGCAGTAAGAAATTTCATATCAAAAAGCTATCGCACCACACAAATATTTCAAAATCATATCAAAACACAATATTTTTGGATAATTTAAATTAAATTTACATAAAAGAGAAAAGAATCAATTCCATCACAATTCCCATACATATTTTCCAACATCTCTACGAAAGTAAAATCAACACGGTTACCCAGATCATTCGAAAGACTCACTTCTAATTTGCCTTCGAATTCCACGGTTTCACGAGACCTGAACGCTTTCCCTCGACAAATCACGAAGCGTGACAGTCGCAACGGAGCAAACTAACGATTGTCTCTCGGATACGTGCACAGCGTGGCGATGATCAATACATATCGCGCGCAACTTGTCAAAGTCGAGCCACCGCGAGATCGTTAGAGGCATCACAGACTCGACTTCAATTATTATCCTCGAATTCCATCCGGTATATGTGTGCATGTGTACACGCTCAAGAAACGCGTCTTCTCCTCTGTATATATAACGAACGATCGAAGGAGATACAGAGTCGGGTTTATGGAATGTTTCGCTTCTAAGAGGATAGACAGATAATGTATCTTCTTCGATGCGAGGCTGCACCATTGTTTGTAAGTATCGATTCGTCTGCTGATATCATCTATATAAAATATTTACCAAAGTAAATATTTTAATATCGTAATTAAAATTATTTTCATGTTTATATTTCTATGTTTGTTATAATCGATGTATTGTTAGCTAGTAATATATAGGTTCGTATAATGTGTCTAGAAATTTTTAAAAAATAGTATATAAAAAGAAAGAGATGAAAGGATGAAAAGTAGTAACATAGGTAATTTTACGAACAAAATTTTAGTACAGGGTGATAAAAGAAAAAGAGATTCGATATTTGTGAAACTTAATATTCATTATGAGAGAATATCTAATCATAGGTTCCAAAAGCAATTCTTTTCCTATAAAATTAATTTTTATTATTTAATAAAGTTCCATTGATTTCTTCGCAAAGCAAGTTAAATTCGTTATATATTTTTTTACTTGAATATTATATTCTTTTAAATATTATAAATCTTATAAATATTGAATCTCGTTTTCTTGTTATTCTATATATTCTTCGTATATCTATGACTATCTATAAGTATGCATCTTGAAAGAACAAACGATCGAAAATGAAAACGTGCATCGCACAGATTCCCGTTAGTTTTCCTCGTACGAGAAACGAGTCATGATTCTGAACCACAAAACTGGGAACCGGAAACCAGCGATTTCAATCTCAGTTCACTGGTTGCATACCTCGCGGTTAAATTAACGTCAGAATCGATACGGCAAATTATCCTCGTATTTTTCCCTTTTTAATTATTATATAGCTGACTCGTCTGCTCGAATTTTTTTCTTTTCTATTTTTTTTTTTGTTCTCTTTCTTTTGTCGAAACAATTATATACATATTTACGAATATGTTGGTATTTGCAAGAATACTGCATCGAAAATGAATTTTTGAAAGGATGACTAATTTCTGTCTAAGATTTTTTCATAGTATTATTAAAATTTCTTTATTTTTTTTTTTTTAACTTTTGATAGATTGGTAGATTTTATAAGAAAAATATTTTTTTAAATATTCATACGTTTAATATTACATAACTTTAATGAAATATCCAAATTAATCAATAAAGAAAAATCAAAATAGTAGTATAAAATAAAACAAGCTCATAGAAATCAATATAATTGAAAGTTTTTTATAAATCGTTTTGATCTGAAAAATTTCTCGTCTTTCTCTCTCGTGTTCTAATTCTTGAAGACAGGAATGGTAAAATATATATTTTTCGATTCGAATATAAGTGATTAAATAAATTAATATTTCTAGATATAATATTTGATTAGCAGTATGGTATGTTAATTGATAAAGTATTCCAAGTGAAAGTTTAATGGACAACTGTATCTCGTTTAGATATCAAAATGTTAAATATGTTTATGACAGGACAAGAATAAATATTATCTTGTTAAATATTTATACTTTAGATCTAAAATGTATATAATATAATTTTTCTCTTCAAAATGAATTATACTTATCCAACTTCAAAAAATCAAAACATCGTTCCATATTCTGGAACTTACGAGCAAGAAATCTCTCCCTTATTACGTTTATAAAATAATGATCGCATTGCGTAAAAAAACGTATACACAAAAAACAAAAAAATCAAAAAATCGATCATCGACAAATTCAATCTCATTTCAATCTCTCTCATTTTATTATTTATCGCGATATTAGAAAGATTATAAAACATCCCATTATACTTACCTTCGTATAACGATAATGGACAGTAGTACTTAACGTCGCACACTCGATCGTGATACGACCACGGACAGAAGTTAATTATCTCCCCGTGCGGTTAGAAAAACGAAAATCCGCGGGATTCGTAATGACAGATTGCTCGTTGCTCTTCGGTTGGAAACAGATGGAAATCGGTTTTGCGGCCGGTTAAAAAGAACCGTTATGAAACGTGTCGCTCAACCTTCCCTTGGAAATCAGGATCGATGGATCCAGTATTTCGTATCTCGTAGATATGCAAAGGCGTATAAACGCGTTTTAATGCAATTGGAAGTACGGCGTGGTCAATGACGCGTGCGCATCACGATTTAAATCGTCACGGTTGATCGAACTTGGATCGAAAGTATACTCGCGCCGATATTGATGTAGGAAGTAATTTCGTTCGTGTCGGTAACTCCATTGTTATTGACGGGATAAATCAAACAACGATTTGCTTTCTTTCTTTCTTTCTTTCTTTCTTTCTTACTTTCTTACTTTTTCCAGAGCTCGAACCTCGGCCAAGAACTGTTGGACAGGGTGTTCAGGCATTTGAATTTATTGGAGACGGCTTACTTCGGGCTACGTTACCTGGATCACGGCAATCAGACGGTAAGAAATGTTTTTTGTCTAGATTATATTTGATCGAAGTTTCAATACAAGCCCTTCGATTTACATAATTTCGTGATCGTGATCAGGTTTAAAAAAATAAGTCTGGTTTCGTATTTTTGATATTAGTTTTCCAAGGGAGCGTTTTTATTGTTAATTATTGTGTATGGAACGGTCGAATTGTTCATAAAATTTTTAGTTTTATTGAAATTTTATTTTGACTAAAAATCAAGATGATTTTTTCTATTATTTGATTTACGTTTATTGATAATTAGAAAATATGGGATATTTCAATATTAATTATAACGAAATATAACGATAATGCTAAGAATTTTGTCACTAATATTTAAAATCAAAATCTTTTTTCAAAATTCTCTAATATCTAATATTTATGATTCAAATAAAAATACATCAATTTGGAAATTTAATTTACTTTCTGAATAAGATTTCCCAATTGCAAACGTGACATTTCCTTTTCCATAATTAGAAAGAAATTAATTTTATATTATCAAAATGTAATTAACGTATGATTTCGAATAAATCAATGCTAGACATCTAAAGAACTAGATATCGAATAATTTACCCTTTTCAATTAAATAAAAAAAATCAGATGAAAAATCGAGCCGATATCATCATACCCTCGGGCCATGGAGGAGAGGAATAGAATTATTATTCACAGGAAATGTCGAGCTGTCTGTAATTTCCGGTCTGCTTGACCAACACTTTCGTCGTAACTCTTACGGTTCGATCGGTCGAAGGGATTAATTATTTAGGAGTAATACTCGATCTGTACTACGTGTATATGTGATCCGCGTATCTTTATAGCAATGGCTCGATCCAAGCAAGAAGATTGGAAAACAATTGAAAGTCCAAAAAGGAGATCCGAGCTCGGATGTCCACACCCTCTATTTCGGTGTGAAATTCTACGCGGCCGATCCCTGCAAACTCATCGAAGAAATCACAAGGTAAATAAAAATTCGATTTATCTTCTTACATCTTATTTGTTTATTTCTCGATATTATCGATTAATTATGTTAATAATTCAGTAAAGGGATATATAATGAATACAGATGGTTCATTACGAAAATTTGATTAAAATTAAATCAATTGCTACTACTAATTCAAATGAAATTTTGTTCAAATCAATTATCGTTATATTTTATATTCATCGTGCCGCTTATCATTTCCGGTTCTATTTTGTTATTGCATATTCAAAGTGAATTCTAATTATTCGGTTAATGTTGAAGGAAATTTACATCGTTTTGTAATTGATCGGCCGTGATTTATGGACGATTAATGGAGGATTAATGAACGAAGCAAGTTTTTTACTATCCTTCAATCAATTCCGACACCGGTAACGAAGCGCATCAATGCGCATCATTGTGCTTGTGCCGAGTCTACTGTGAGTGTATGCACAAAGGCGATTCAACATGGTTTCATTACACCGTGAATACGAAATAGCCACGATAGCACGTGTATAGATCTTGCGTGATACGATGCCACTCTTCAAAGGAAATTTGAAATTTATTTTACGTCGTTCGTTCTTAAAGGAATTGAAAGAAATTTTATAAATTTTCCTTCTACATATATAATCAAGGAAATTACGAATAATTGCTTTTGGTATATTATAATTGCTTGTTGGTGTAATAATTAATAATTTTGGTTTAATAATTAATAATGTAATAATAATAATTTTTCGAGGGAAAATGAAATGAAAATCAAGATAAGATAAAAAAACTTGCCAACAAATCTCTTTATACGAGTAAACTTAGAATTATATGAATCTAAGATATGAAAGTGAGATTTCATATTTCAAATTTTATTTGCAGAAGTGAATGAGATAGCTTCCATAGTTCGAAAATCTTAACTTCCTCGAGTTTCGAGTTATCAAGATTGAAGTGTAATAATCAGCGGGGGAGAGATAATATGCGCATCTCGTTATTGATATTATTTATACACCGCTTGTAGTGCTTAGATGCTGATATCCCGTGGCTCGTTCATTGTGCATTGAAGTCGAAACTGCAACCACGACAGGATCTCGACAAGCGTCCATCGATTGCTCATACTCGAGATAAAAGATGAACGCATTTGCATATAGATTGAGTTCGTTCGTTTCCAGAGACTTCACTTTTTCCCTCTCTTTCTCTTTTCCTTTTCTCGATATGTGCATCGAATGATGTGGTTCTACTACTGAATCAGGTGAACGGATATCGTTTGTGGATTTCTCGTTTCACCACAAAAATCTTGAATAATGGTCCACATCTGCCATAAAATACATGGACCGACCAGAATTTCTCCATGTTCAACTTGATTCAACGGATTGACGTCACAATAAGGTAAATAAATCGATATAAAAATAAATATCTGGTCAAAAAATTAGAATCATTCCCATTTTCAATGACTTTAGTTTAAAAATCTGAACGATATTTAATAATATATACGTATGTGTGCACATATTATTAATTTTATCTATATCCTTTGACCAATATATTTTTGTAAATATAATGGATTTATTAGAATCAATCAGACTTTCATTACAAGTATCTTTATTTTTGTACATTGTTTAATAGATGTATCCAATGTTGCGTGTAAGTGTAATTAATAATAATTTAAGTAATCAAAAAAGCAATTATTTGATATTTCCTTGATTTCATAAAGGATGTTGAACAATTTGATTCTTAAAAATTATCTTTCGTTAATAATAGATTTTTTTCAAAATTAACGAAGATATAGATCGTTAAAGCATTAGTGTCTAAATATTTTCGTGACTCACAGTACTAAAACCCCTCGTCGATAAAAAGAACTCGTGTTAAAATATCCGAGAAAAGAGAAGAAAATCGCGAAAAGGCAAAAAGCTGGCGTAAATCAGGAATGCTTGAAAGGGATCCAGAATCGGCTGGCGAATTCGAGTGGAAGAAGATCGGCAAGAAAGAAGAGAGAGAGAGAGAAAAATATATTTATCTAAAAATGAGAAAGCACATTGTTTTAATAATGCAAGCTGATTTATAATCATTGCGGGCATTGACGTGGATTGATAAACGATTCTCTCCTCGAAATTGTGTAGAAAGAAAAATACAGAAATAGAAAGTGTCGAGAGAAAAAAAAGAAAAAAAAGAGCGTAAGACGACATGATTAAGAAGAGAGAAAAAACGTGAACAGAATATTCGAACAAATTAAGTAGAAAATTTATTGGAATAAACACGAAAACTAATATGCAATAGACAATTTTACATTAGCTGAAACGAAGAGAGGATAATTAAAGTGTAAAATTAAATTGCTCGTCATTCATTAAATAAATTGAATTTTTACATAACAACTTCAGTATTTATTACTTCGTTCAAACAATCCTACGTAAGAAGAGAAAAGAAAGAAAAGAAAAGGTTGCGCAAACGGAAAATTGAGGCGATGATTGGAGAGAGAGAAAGAAATAGAGAGAGACAGAAGAGAATCCTTTCTGAAAAAGAGGAACTTAATAAATGGGATCTTAACGATTTCAAGATAATATATTAAATTTCTGGGTGTTGAAAAAGGAGAGGTATATGCGTGTCATTTGTGCGTCGAGAATGGAGAATGCAGGAAAAACGGAAGAGCGATGGTAAATCTTATGGAATTATCCTAAAAGGAATTTCTGAAGTAATCCTTGCATCAGTAAGGATTCAGGAAGAGAAAAGAGATAAAGCAGAGGGGGGAAGAAAGAGAATTATTCGAAAGAGGGAAAAGTCCCTGAGGGATTCGGTCTGGGGTTTCGGAGGATTCGCACAGCCAATGCGGGGAATTATTCATGTGTTAATAAACGGGATCGTGTATATCAAGAAAATGAAATAGAAAGGGAGTTTATCGTGCGACAAGTCGACTGATGCTTTAAGCGAGAACGTCGTTTGTATATCGAAGATACGAACTTTTCCGGAGAGAAGAAAAGGATATGAAGAAATTGTATTACGTAAATAGAAGATAATTAATCTTGGTGATATTGTGATACGTTAAGTATTGAAATGGACGAATTTATCGATGAATAATTAAACAATGAAAAAATACGAAAATTTTATATAATATCCAAATATTATAGAATTATTTCAGATTAAAATGTGAGAATTAATTTAAATTTAAAAAGTTGTTCGTGTAATGTAATGTAAATTTGGATCGTAGTACAAATTAGAGAATAACGATTTAATCGCACAGTTTTATAAAACATAAGTTTCTGTACATCATTTAACTTTTAACTTAAGTTGAAAAGACTTATGTTATATAGCTTTTATTATTTTTTTCCAACATGTAGGACACAAAAACTTTTTATATATATAATAAAATGAAAACACTCATTTATTTTTAATAAATGATTTCACTTTAATTAGAATTTTAGCAAAAAAAAAAAATCGTTCATCTTCTTACAGAAATTAGTATCATATATAATTTTTTATCTATAAATAATCCAATATAAATATTCAAAGAGATTTTCTTACGAAAAATCTTCTTGTCTCGCTATAAATAAAAATATATTGTTCCAATAAATAAAAAAACACGGTGATAAATCGTGTTTGCAAATAGAAGAACGAAAAAAGCGGAGGAACAGTCGAGACGAAGGTGAAATATCCTCTCGGGGGCAGGTTGGATGAGCGAGGAAAGACACGGGACAAAAGATTGGCAGGCAGAAAATGAAGAAAAAGCGAGGAGGAGAGGGAAGAAAAAGTGTGCTAGCGAAAAGGAATCTGCGTACGAGGGAATAGGCTTATGCGCGTAACGAAAGGGAGAAAGCGAAGGAGAAGAGGCGACGAAGTGACATAGGTGAAGTGAAGTCGTGGCAATGGATTGTAAAGCGAGAAAAAAGGGGAAAAAAAAACTACGAAATCCTTTTAACGATGACTTTGCAAGGGGAGAAATCGCGAGAGCAACTATAGTAAAATCGAAATTCAAGGCGAATCGTGACCGCAAGTTGACCCCAGTCGTAACTTTTTTTCTTTTTTATTTCCCCTCTGCTCTTCTTCTCTTTCTCCTCCTTCTTCTTCTGCTCCCACTTTTGCTTCCCTCCTTTCGATACGCTCTTTTCGCTTCGCTGTTTTTTCTTGTGTTTTCACGTGTGTCACATGTCATTAACCATATTCATGAAATACATGCAATAAACGTTTTTTTTTTTTCTTTCTTTTTTTTTTTATGTTTCTTTCAGGATGAAGAGAAGAAAGGAAGAACTACTGTAAAGTTTATTCAATATTAAATTGTTTTTTCTTTTTTTATTGCACCATTGAATTTTGTTCATTGTCAAAAAAGAAATAAAATTATAGGAAACTATCTAACTAATTTAGTCGAAGAAAAAGGTATATTTTTTATTCTCCTTTCTCATTTGTACGATAAAAATAATATTTCTTTTTCTTCCGATTCATAGGTATCAGTTTTTCCTACAAGTGAAACAGGACATTCTGCAAGGAAGACTTCCCGTGTCTTTCGACTTGGCCGCAGAATTAGGAGCTTACGTCGTGCAATGTAAGAATATAACATTTTTTTATACTAACTTTTAAATAATAATGTAGATTTTTTTTTAACGAGTACCATACACATGCATGATTTATTAATATTCATGTAAATATAATATATTAATTAATATTTATGATTTATTATTTATGAGCCGTGTGTTCCTTGTTAGAAAATATTACGTAACAAAATTTCCTAATATTTTTCTTTTAATAATTGTTTACTTTCTAATGTAAAACCAACGAAGAAAGTTATATTATATTCATAAATAATAAGCGGAAGTCTTTAAGACTTTTCATAAAACTTTTTTTCCTAAATTTACAGTTCTATATAAGATATCATCTCATTCGATAAGGCTGCAAAATAATCATAAGTTATTTCTTTATCTTTTAAAAATTCTCATTTGTTTCTCTCTTTCTCTCTCTCTTTTTTTTTTCTTTTCAATGGGCAAGATTTTTCAAACAGGCAAAGTTATAATTTGAAGGAAATGCATCATGCAAATGTATATCGCGGAAGCGAGCATGACGAGCGCAATCAATCAGATGGTTAGTTAATGCTCGCCCGCGATTTCTTTTCGCAACGCGGCTTCCGTCAGCCGGTTGAACACGAAGATTATTACCGGTTCTAATGAACGTTATGATTAAAATTGGTGGCTTTAATTAAATCCCGGGGTATTAATCTTCTCAAGGTCAAAGAAAGTTAGCCTAGTAGACGCGGAAGAAGCGGGAGGAGCCGGTAATACCGTTGCGGCATTAACGTTCAGTATCAGATGTGTCTGTTGCAAAGCTGGATTAAGTTTCTGTCTTCTCTTCTTTTTTTTTTTTTTTCTTTTTCTTCTTGAGTAACGAAACAAAGTTTTTTGAAAAAGAAATCTTGAATATTTCGAAAAGAATCTTTGAGATAATTCGAACGAAATAATTCGAGGGAGAAAACGTGATAGTTATTTTAAAAAATTTGAGAGTTTTGATTTTATTGAAATTTAAAAATGATTTGATCGATATTAAGTTAATATTATGATTAAAGATTATAATATAAGGATAGCAAAATTAAAATTTATTTTTGGAATGTACATATTTCGAAATTTTAATAATTTGAAATCTTACGTATAAAATGAAAAGTCTATAAGAAAAATAAGTATTTTGAAAGATATTTATGTGAAATAGTTTTTTTTTTATTTTTATTTCTTTTTTTTTTTTTTTTTAATAAAATAAAGGCTATATTCTCTTCAAAGTTTTCTATGTAAGATTACACGAGAAACTTTTTCAATGTAAAAAATTTTAAAACGTATGTTCGAGGAAATTGCTTAAGTACTGGTTCCATGAATGCTTAATGAAGAACCCGAAGTAATGGTTCGTGAAATAACCTTTTCCAGTCAGTAAAGTTTCTGAAAATTTCTCTGATTACTAAGAAATTTATTTAAGAAATTTACGTAGGAAATTTTTATTTAAATTTTATCTGATAAAACATTCCATTTATTTTTATATACTTTTTTATATTATAACACTAAAATTTTCAACGATTGTTCCAACAAAAATAAGCAAGATCGTGAAAAATTATTATAGCATTTAATATCTTCTAGCTTTTCTCCATTTAAAAAGAGATAAAATTGATAGTATACTTTATAAATTTAACTTTTTCAAAATTATTTGAATAATTTAATGATGATGAAATTACAAATCATAATTTCATTATACGTATATTCAATTTACACTTTTATATAAATTCGTTCAATTAATCGGCATTTTATTCGTTCATTCAATATTTTTGAAACATATAATTTTGTTTTATTTCCTAAAACTTGATCTTTTTCAAAAATATCCCATTAGAATAATTCCAAGGGATCGAGAATAATAGATAATAATTTCAAATTAATTTTTATCCCTGATATACATATACGTTACATGTTTCGCAATTGTAGTCAAGAAAACTGCTCTAATTGAGATCAAGAAGATCAGGTCCAATTAAGGAAAGACAATTCGAAGAGAATTCGCATTCTATCCCAAGAACGTGTATCCTATGGGTCTTGAGCAAGTATAAAGGAAAATCGCTTAAGCAAGTAATCTTGGCGAGACAATTACCAATGTAACCTCAAATGGCCTCAAAGTGCACGTCCCTCATTAGAGATGCCACTATAATTCTGAAAATGAGGCGTAAACTCCTTTTGTTTCACTGCCAACGATTGTACTCGCATCATCTTCCGGTACCATTCTTACCGCAATTGTCCTTGAATGTCTGCAGGCGCAGAAAAGGTTGTTCTGCTTCTTTTGGATGGGAACAATAGACATTATATGCGAAAAATAGATGGCATACGGAGTTTGTGTATCATTTTGATAATATTATACCTATACTCGTTCCTCGCACGATCTTTTATTTATGTAATTATCGATGATAAATTGTCGATTCTTCCTTTATGCAGGAAAGACAATTTATTTGAATATTGTGAAAGGCACAAGGTAAATGTCGATGCTTTTATTTTCTTTGGAAGAGGATACACAAGGTACATGAATTTTTACATATATAGATAGAATTTGATTATTTTTAATAATTTCTTAAAATTATTATAATATCTTGACAATGGTTTCTGCAATTCTAATAAAAGATGGTTAAGATAAATGAAAATTTTTATAAATGTAAAAAATAGAATGATAGATATTAATGGAATCATTTGAATTGAAGTAAAATATTTTTGATTTATTTATTTCAAGATTTATTTAATTCGATATGTTAATTTTTTTTAAATACATTATTTTATTTTCATATATGTAAGATGTGTACAATGATTAATTTCACGCATAAAGTTGTACACTATTATTTTTCTGAAAGTTTAAAATAATTACCGTAATAGCTATCGAGTTATACCTCATACATTCCTAATTATTGAGCAGTAGTAACAGCTTTCAGTAAAGGAAGCTTGATTCAAATGATCCCTCTTCATTTCAGTTAAACTTCATTTGTGATAATTTGCATTAAATTTATGCCATCATTTAATTATCCTGTTTAATTAGCTTAATGCGATGTACAATAATTCATTTGATATACATAATTTCGAATATACTTAATTTAAACATAAAACAGATATTAAATTATCTGTAAATTAATATTGTATGTTTTTATTTGGAATTAGAAAAAAGAAATTAAATATAATTAAAATTCACTTGTCCAAATTATCTTTCTATATTGGGAATAATAACTACTTAAAATAATTATTTAACGTTTATTGCTGATTACATTTGATTAATTTTGATTATTTTGCTTGAATAAATAAACGAAGTCAATTAAAATTTTCATTTATTTTACATCTTATTTGTTAATATAATTTCTCCAATAAAAAATATATGTTTTTAATATCTCCGTAATAAATGTAATATTACATATAAAATCTCGATTAACCGGTTTACGATTAATTAATATCTCAACTAGAGTTCCACTTATGCAAGCATTTTAAAAATTTTCTCAAAAAAAGAACAAAAAAAGTTCGTATTTATAAAATAAAAAAGTGTGAGTAGACATGTCTGACCATGATTATATAAATAGAAAACTTATTTCACTGTAATCCTATATAATTTTCCTATGCTCTGATATAATCATTATCGTTATTATCTATATTAATTAATCGTTATTAACTAAATATACATATCAAAACACGTACATCGATACGTCTTCCAACGAATGCAAAAGCGTACGTGAAACGTTATACCAAGAAGAAAGAAAAATATTTTTCTCGAAAGAATATAATTATCGAGGGATCTTCCATCGTCCAAAAACTCGCAAAATAACTCGCGCCCTCTCACCACAAGTAAGCCAATACTTACGCCTTCGAATAAAAGGTCGTTGCACCATTCTCATTACCCTTATCTTTTTTTCGCTTGGAAGGGAGTCGTGCAACGCCCGATAAGGTTTTATACGCGGCTGGAATCACCGTTTCCTGCGGTCGCATCGAAGTAGACAAAACACGAAGGGAACGATGAAACGTGTGCAATTTTTATCGCGATAACGCCATCTTGGTTCCATGGTGTCGTGGTGGTTGGTACCTCTAACGCTCGAAGACAAGGGCAGCAAGGGCAGAGAGAAAATTTCACAGGGCAACGCCTAACGCTCGGGCACGCTTATTTCCGAGAGAGAGTCTAAACAAAATTGCATGGTGGGTGCTACATTATGCACCCACGCGGCACAAAGCCGCCACGTCGAAATTACACATCACGATCGTTTCTTTTTCATCGCGTTTTTCTGGTGAACCGACAACACGCCACGTTTCATCGAATTTTTTTTTTTTTTTTGTTTTTTTCATGACATCTCTGTAATTCTTTGCTATTTCCATTCAATCGTTTGCGTATCAAATATGCATCGAAATAGATGTACAATCGTGGCATTCTGTATTAATCGTGGAATTTGTTTTCGTTTATTTTTAAAACTTATTTTTTTATAATTGAAATTTTTGAAGTTTCAATACTTTTTTCTAACTTTGTTAAGAAATAATTTATAGGCTAAGATAAGTTTTGAAGAAATTACTTTATAATATTCTTCTACAAGTAATTAATAATAGTAATTAAAATATCTTTCTTTCTATCTTATAAAATTCTTAAATAATCATAATAAATAATGATTTTAGAAATAAACAGGACTCGCTCGAGAGAAATTTTAGAATCCATTGTCTCATTATAGATAAAATGTTTGAGCGAAAGTCTGATAAAAAGTGATATAAGAAGATTCGCGGAATATTTGAACGGTATGTGATTTCAATTTCAATTTCAATCGGTGGAAAGAGATGTCCACATGTTAAACTTTTTGTTAAAGTGCTTCTCTAACTTTTCTCCCTTTGCAGACGGTTATTTCTGTTCCGAAATACTTCCATTCAAGCATTGATGGAACGAAGAAAGTAATCAATTTATGTGAAGGAGATCAATCCTCTTACATTTTTGAAGTATCTTGAAGTTTTTATTTATACAATCGTATTTTATATTTGAGGAGAAGAGGAGAAATTTGGAAATTGAAAGTAAAGTTTATTTAATTGA